ATAAAATTACAGATAAAATTTGTATTCTTAATAAAATTAGTGATAAGTATTCCCTCACCCTGCATGGATAATAGTTCAATTGACAATGGCCATTTAATAATTTCAGTTGATTATTATTAGGTTAAGGGTATTTTTCCTCACTTTTCCCTTCGTTCTCCCTTGAAATTAAAAAAAAAAATTTGTAACTCTTTTTATTTTTATTTTTTTATTTGGGTTATTATATAACGAGAAATAATTATTTTTTATCTTTTAATTTTTTCTAACTACGTAATATCCAATTTAAATTTAAAATTTTTTATTTTTATTGTACAGCAATAAGGGTGATATCATGATGCAGTGTTAAGAAATATTTGATATTGGCGGTCTAAAATCCATTCATTTTGCTGATAGTAAGTCGACCTGAAAAAATGCTATACAGTCATCAATTAAAATATAAGATAAGGATGTGAATCACATTGGCTAGAAAGCTCTGAAAAGTGCGGAGGATGGAAGAGGCCCCAAAAATTTTCAAATTTTTTGTATCCTTTGATTTTTTTTTTTTTTTTTTTTTTGATTTTCCCTTTTTTTTTTTTTAAGTGGTCCCTTAAAAATTGTTACTCACTAGTGTCTTGTTCAAGCTGTGTTCCTGTCTGAAAAAATAGTGGAGAAGGTGATGAAGTTCCTAGTTCTTCCAACAGTATGCAAGGCATATTGTTTACAGAATCTGAATCCCAAGAATCATTAGGGTCTGAGAACTAAAGTTTGATTCTTTAGCAGAATTTTGATGATGTGATTCCTAACATTTGAACAATATGTACATACTATTTGTTGTAGCAGCAGTACCAGAACTTTTCTTGATAACTAAGAGATATAGGAACAAGATGCTTAGAGCTGTGTATCTTGCTGCTATTTTTTCGAAGAATAAGGAAAGACAACTCATAGATGGTTTAGGTGATGAACCAAAGCTATTAAAGGGAAGTAGTCATTAATAACTTGTTTACCTACACTGTCAATATTATAATACAAGAAAATATGTAGGTTTTAGTCGTGTGGACCGGTTAGCATATATCATTATCAATTCATTGCGTTCTCATTTTCTTTTGCATCGAAATTCTGGGTTTTGTAGGTTGTAGGGCAGAGATTATATTGGGAAACTTGTCCCCATACTGTCCGTTTCTGGTGAGCTCAGGCTACCCCCACTAACCAAAGGACTGTCTTTAAACATTAGCTCCCTTGTAGAATTCGACTTCTCTGTTATTTTTTGGGTGAATGGTCCTTACAAGGAAAACATAAAAGGGAAAGGAGGGGGCCCAAGGGAAGATGGGAGTTTAATGTTAGGTTTTTAAGTTTGGTCCGTCATATAGCTTGAATACTTAGCACTGACCCTGTTAAGGAAGACGGCCATTGTAAAGAAAGTTCTTTTTTTTTTTTTTTTTCTTTGAACGTCAAGCAATTCTTGTAACGAAGTTTTATCTTACAAAAGAATAAGAGGAATTAAAAAAAAAAAACTAATTAAATCTACATTGCATGGAAGCATTTTCATTTGAAAAAAAGATAAAATCATGCAGGCTGGAAGGATATCAAGCATTTGAAATCATGCTTAAACACCAGTACTGATCAAGATCTCAACTTAAGAGCAGGATATCACTCTCTACAGGCTTAATTAACTGTGTTCTTAAATAAAGGTTTTATCTGAAGTTTTCAGTATCATTTTCCTATTTTTTGATGTCATTTCAATCGAAACTTGCTAACCATTATATGGTAGGTGCCAGGTAGGTTTAGTTCCATTAACAAATTTAGCCAGTTGATTCATGGAGGGGAATGATGCATGGACCATGAGTAGCTCGGACACTTAAATGCTAAATTAATGAAATCCAAAGAGATTTTCTTAGTTTATGCTGAAGTTTCTGCTATAAATAACGGCTCCTAAGCAATCACTTGCCATCTCTTCCTGCATTCCTCCCTTGTTCTTTTGGTATTCAAGAATGCCAATGGCAAAGCAGCTCCGTGCTTTTTCTGCTTTCATTCTGATCATATTTCTCTTTGGTTCCACGACAACTACAGGTACTTAACATGCTATCATTTGCCTATTTCCTTGCATGTTCTTCATTCTTTTAGTTATATAAAGTCATTTGATGTTGAGCATGGAGCTTCGAAGTTAGAAATAAGGACACAAAATCATAAAACCTATAACAGTGGCATTATTTTGTGCAGAGGCAAGGAAAGCAGCATTTGATCCGGTATTGTCCTGACACCCTACTAACATTTTTTTTCGAAGTAGTTATGTATTAGTATCCACTTACACAACATGCTTTTACACGAAAATAATTGTTTTCCTTGGTTGAATTTAGTTGTAGCTAACCCCTGTGCACAAGCATAGAGGTATAGCGTACTGTGTTAGACTATTAATTAAATACTAGTTATGAGTTTTCAAATGTTGATTCTAACACTGGAGTTTTTTCTCTCAATGCACAGGTTGGATCAAATGACTTAATTCCTGATGTATCTGAACCCTCAATGCTCCAAGCAGATGAAATAACTGATGGTAAGCGTCCGAGAGCTCCGGATGAGCTCCAAGCAGACATAACTGTTCCTAAGCGTCCAAGAGCTCCAGATGAGCTCAAACTCGATGATCAAATAATTGGTGTTAAGCGTCCAAGACCTCCAGATGTGCTGGAACTAGATCAAATTATTGGTGTTAAGCGTCCAAGACCTCCAGATGTGCTGGAACTAGATCAAATAATTGGTGTTAAGCGTCCAAGACCTCCAGATGTGCTCGAATCAGATCAAATAATTGGTGTTAAGCGTCCAAGACCTCCAGATGTGCTCGAACCAGATCAAGTAATTGGTGTTAAGCGTCCAAGACCTCCAAAGCTCCAAGCAGATCCTCCACCCGTAAGCCTTTTTGCCACAATCAGGTAAATCATATAAGAGCCATTGATCCCTGCAACTCTTTTTTCCTTTTCTTTTTCATCCTGATCTTCCATTTACTTATTGGATATAATATTTTCCTCTTTTTCTGTACTGTTGTTTCAGTGACCCGGCTGAAGACACCACTCAGGCTGCTAAAAATCTGGTACTGTTTTCTTGAAGACCTTGCTCTGTGCTCATGCTTTTGGCATAACAAATTGGAGTCACTTCTCTGAAGGGTTTATAAAATTGTTGATACGGAAATATAATTTTCATTCATTAAAGTAGATTGTGAATGTTAAGGACAAGACTAACACAAGAGCATCTAAATGTGCAGGTTGTACATTCTGGATTTTCTACTGAATATAAGGTCCCGACAACACCTTCCAGTGAGGTCAGACAATTTGGATTCCCTTAGTTCCTTGGTCGTCCCTCGGAAAAATCCACCTACTTGAAAATGTTTGAACTGTCGTCAAGTATAAATAAAATGGTCTAGTTTCACAGTGTGCTATGATATCATGTTGTTGCTTTGATGTTATTAGTGACATCTTCCTTATATATTATTATGAAAATTAAAATTTAGCACCAATGTTCTACATTTCCCTGAGCTTGAATGTGTGTATATATATTTTTTAAATAATTCCGCCTTTTTATGGGACAAAAATGTATTATAAACATATAAAGAGAAAAATTAAATCAACTCAAAAAAAAAAAAGAGGAAAAAAAAAGCTAACTACTTGTGGTTGAGGTTGAGCATTTCACATGATACAAGGATTACAGGCATTAATTTGTTAAGCAATGGCATCGATTGTATGCTTTAGATGATACCAATTTAGATTAGAAAAGCCTTTACATACAGGAAATGAGTTACTGCATACACAGAGAATTGGTTCAAACAATCCTCTTTTCTCATTCCAAGTAATGTAGGATATCAATTTCTCAAAGGGATAATTATACATACACCCAAACAATTAACACCCATCTCAACACCCAAGGCTTATGAACAGTAAAATTATAAATTTACCTCTCCTCATTTTGGCCTTGGGTGTTGAGATGGGTGTTGATTGTTTGGGTGTATGTATAATTATCCTTTCTCAAAATGATAATTGGAATACGATGTTTTCATCAAATTAAGTAAAAGAGGTTGCTGCCAGTCCATATCATGTTCCTTATAAACCATTAACCTCTCCTTCTTCGAAATATAAGCTGCAGCAGTCAACTGTCTAAAACTGCCTGGAATATGTAAAATTGGTAAGCTTTCTGCAGGAGTACTTGCAATAAAAGGAAAATCCACTCTGTACACAAGTATATCTTCAATCTTAATGGAAAGTTAATCAATAACGTTTTCTTGTTGATCTTAACTTCAAAGCATAAACTGCATATGCAACGTTGTCGTAATCCCAACGCGGTTACTAAGTGAGGCATTGCAATGCTAATGCATGTCAATGTCATTTACCTCGTAACCAGTTCACATTCTCCTATATATTAACACAGTTTAGCTCCTCCCTGCTCACAAGTCTCCAGCATTTCCTCCATTTCTTCATTATAATTTCTCTGTTCTCCAATGGCAAAGCAATCTTTAGCCTTCATTGTTTTCACCCTCGCTTGTTTCCTCTTGCACGGCAATGCCTCAGGTAGAGTCATATGATTAATTTTAAGTTTATAAACAACTTTCTCAATGTTACACAGAGCAATTTACTTTTCTTCCCCCTTTTTTTTTTTTTTTGTGTGGTTTCTGCAGGTGCTAGCATTGGGACTAATCAAGTCATGGAACAAAGTTGGTGCATTGTTAAGCCTTCAATGGACATTGATCAGCTGCAAAAGAACATAGATTACTGCTGCACCCAGGCAGAAAACAACTGCGGCACGATCCAACCTGGGGGTCCATGCTACAACCCTAACAACCTAGTCTCAGATGCTTCTGTTGTGATGAACTTCTACTTCCAGAAATCGGGCAATCAACAGAGTGCCTGCTATTTCAATGGTAGCGGGCTCATTATACAAGAAGATCCATGTAAGTACTCTTCAAAACTAAGTACTCTTCAAAACTATCTCTCAGTTGGTTTTTAAATTATATCTTCATTTACAAGGCAAATTGAAGAACTGATTTTGTTTTTGGTCGCAGCTGTTGGAGCCTGCATATATCCTGCAAATTAAATAGAGCGCGTGGACATAAGCAGTACTAAATAAATATAAGATGGAGTTGGATTTGGGAGCTGCCGGTGTTGGAGTGCTAGAGAGAATGATGTAAATAAAGCTATTATAGTAATAATCAAAATCATATGTGTTGTTATGGACCTAACTTTCTTTGTTATTCAGGGAAGAATTAATTATAAATGAATTTGGATATTTTACTATAACGAACTCCATGATCCATTGATTTATTAGTAATGTTTATGAGTTTTGAAGAACTAAACCAAGTCTCTGATTAGATAATTAAAGAAACACAAGCAGGGTCTTAAGCTTGAGCAAAACCCTTTCTCGTCCAAATTTGCTTTATTCTTAAAAGTAGCTGTGGATCAATCATATTGCAGCGTGGACCAATGAAACTGAAATTTCAGTGACATGTTAATGTCTCAAGTAATGTATTCCACCGCTGCCTTGTGGCTGTGTGCCATGGACAGAAAACAACGTGGGGGGAAATGCAATTCAAGGAAGAATCCAACATTTTTTTTTTTTTTTTGCCCTTCAATTTAAGTTCATTCTCAGGTGATGAAGCTGTCCATAAGTTTTTTTTTTTTTTTTTTATTCCCACCGATGCATAACCAGCTGGCACCACTTATTGATTGCAGCAAGGGAGGCATGGCGGTGTGTCATGATCCCAATTCCCAAGCCAAGCAATAATAAGACTAATAGTAAAATGATACAAACCACTTTATATTATATGATGTGGTAGAAGTTTTGTCACCAAATGAAATCTTCATTTATTCATTATCTCTGAGTGGCAATCACAAACAAAAATAAGAACACATAGTTTCCTTTTTAAAATTCTCCTCTCAATATGCCTCATGCTAAGAAGAAGGCCTCCTGGCCCAGTGGCCCAGCAGTTTAATGTAAACCTTCTTCACCATGGCAACTGTTCCATCCCTCCTCACCCTCCTCCCCCTCCCCCTCCCCCTCCCCCCAGCCTCTTGCCCTAATAATAATAATTAAAAAAAAAAGCCTCATGCGAAGAAACTAATTGAATCATTCTAATATCACATAAAATGAGCAAAAAATACGACTTAATAGGAAGGGCCCCAGAATTGAGAGCATAAGCAAAGTAATTAATCAATGGTAATTATACCATAAGGAAGTTAATCTCTTTATGCCTGGACTTTATCACACTTGAGTGGCTTGACCACCTCCCATGTGAAATCTGGATCATCTCTGCCAAAATGCCCATAGGCAGCGGTCTTCAAGAACCTGCCATTGCCACCTCTCTTAAGATCAAGGTTGATGGAAATCATTCCAGGCCGGAAATCAAAGTTTTCCTTCACAATCTTGAGAATCTCCTTGTCCGGGATCTTTCCGGTGCCATAAGTGTCAACAAAGACAGACAATGGCTCAGGCACACCAATGGCATAAGAAACCTGGACAATGCACCTTCTTGCCAGCCCACTAGCCACAATGCTCTTTGCAGCCTGCCTGACAATGTATGCACCACTGCGATCCACCTTTGTGGGGTCTTTGCCGGAGAAAGCACCACCACCATGAGCACCCCATCCACCATAAGTGTCAATGATGATCTTACGGCCAGTGAGACCGGCATCACCATGGGGACCTCCAATGACAAAACGCCCAGATGGGTTCAAGTGGAAAATGGTCTTCTCATCAAGATACTTCTCAGGAACAACAGGCTTGATCACATGCTCCTTCAAATCAGCGGCAATCTCATCATTGGTCACAGTCTCATCGTGCTGAGTTGAAATCAGAACAGTGTGCACACGAACAGGGACCCTGGCACCATTGTCATTGTAATACTCAACAGTCACTTGGGTCTTGCCATCAGGCCTGAGCCAGGGGCAGGTACCATTCTTGCGCACTTCTGTCAGACGAGCACCGAGCTTGGTTGCAAGAACATGGCTAAGTGGCATCAATTCAGGGGTCTCATCAGTGGCATAGCCAAACATGTGACCCTGATCACCAGCACCAATTTCCTCAGGCCTCTTGGTGAGATGTCCATGAACACCTTGAGCAATATCAGGGCTCTGTTGTTCAATGTTAACTAGAACCTTGCACTTGTCTGCATCAAGACCCACATCATCAGAGGTGAATCCGATGTCCCGGCAAGTGTCACGCACGATCTTCTCGTAGTCCACATTAGCTTTGGTAGTAATCTCACCAAAGATCATAACCATGTTGGTCTTGGTGCAGGTCTCACAAGCGACCTTGCTCTCAGGGTCCTGAGCTAAGCAGGCATCAAGGACCGCATCGGAGATTTGATCACAGAGCTTGTCAGGGTGTCCCTCGTTCACTGACTCAGAGGTAAATAGGAAAGTCTCCATTTCTTCAAGCTGCATAGCACAGATCAATCACGGAACCAATGAGGATTTGAAAACTAATAAAGATCAAAACTTTACCAATCATTCTTGATAAAATCTAAGGTACCAGAACTCAGATCTGCAACCTTAAACCACAAAACCCCGACTAAAATCTCACAAATTAAACAATAGTCAAAATTCAAGATTTAATTCATATGAACTACAAGAAAGATTAAAACTAGCAGATAAAATGAAATACCCAGAATCAAAAACAGATCCACAAGCATAAACGAAGTGAACCAAGAGGAATTTGAGAACCAGAAGCATAAATCATTAGCAAAAGAGCAAAGCTACCCAAGAGGAGTGAAGAGAAAATGGTTACCTGAGAAAGAGAGAGAGAGAGAGGGATGATAATCTCTGATTGAATCGAAGAGAATGGATTTGAGTCCTCGAACGGAGGAAGACGAGTTGGATGGAGGGAATGAAGAAGCGTATAAATAGAGCAATTGGGGGTAGGTTCATGGACAGCGGGATTAGAACTGGATCAAACGTGTGGGGTTGGGATGTGGAACAGTAGGGTGGCATCTGTACCTTTGACGAGGGAAGGGAGTATCTAGGAAGGAGGAAGGAGAGTATCTAGGAAAGAGGATGACTTTTGGAGGGAAGTAACGTCGGTTGTTGAGATTGGACGGACGCTTTTTCTGACCCACCAACTCCTCCCATTAAAAAAAAAAAAAATACAGCCACCAACTCCGAGGCACCAACCCCCGGCTGTATTTTATTGGAGTAAACTAGCAATAACCACTCCAACAAAAACCGCTAAACTATACATCCACTCGGCTCTTATTTTAATAAATTTAAAATTTAAAATTTTTCAATTTATATTATTAGATTTTTAATCTTTATCTTCTTTTATAAAGTTTTTAAC